CAGGGGGGAGGCGGGTAAGGACCGGGGAGCGGCTGTCGCCCGCGCTTTCCAGCCGCGGAGGGACCGGTGTCGCTTCTCTGGGAGGTGAGTGGGTCCTTCCACGTCGTCCGGAGAAAGTGCTGGGCCAAGCAGGAGATAGCCGTGGGATTGGAGGGGGGGATTTCTGCCCCCTCTTTGCTTTGTGCCTCCCCGTGGAGGAGGTGGAGCCGCCTTCTGTGCTGCTGTTTGTCAGACAATGCTTTTCCAGTGTCTAGATGGGATGGTATAGACTTCTTATGCATTGGCGGGGAGTATTTTCAGAGGGGAGTCGCGAATGTCAGAGCCATGGAGTCTAACATGGGACATCTGGCTCAGCCCCTAAAAATATACAGGACTCCACTGCTGCGTATGAAGTTAGGCATCTGACTTCGATTCTCTGAAATACGTGCCTTCTGAGTACAACAGAAAGTGTATGTTCCCTTCCTTCATTATAATAAACTGCTAGAGTTAATTTGTGATTTATCACTATCGTTGTGTCTGCTTAAACAAATATAGTGTGAAGTACGTCAGCAGAAGACCACAACTTTTCTTCCTCTTCTCCCGCCCTATGCTTCTTCCCATATCTTGCATTTATCCCTCCGTAGGTCTGCTCTGATGTCTTTTCTACACCTCTGTTTTGCAAATTGGACAAAAGGCATTCCCGGCTGTAACTGGCGTGGGTGTAGAGAGGTTAAAGTGCATGTTCTGAGTGCCGTACAGGGGCACCGGGCCAACTGAAGGCTGCTAGAAAGCCAGCAGAGTGGTTTTGGTGGCAGTAGGTTGGGCTGTGTCTGTGCTGGATGAGGGCGACTGTGACTAGCCAGGTTGGGAGAGGGGAAAACCATTGTAGAACTGCACTGCAATGGAAACTGTGGAAAGAGATGCCATCGGTTAAGTTGGAACGTGGGTGGGCATCAGTGCATGCTGCTTCCAGTGGATGCAGCCTCTGTTTTCCTATACTTCGATGTTAGCAGGGTAAATACTTCTCTACTGTAACATGTAATAGTCCTAATAGTTTTATGCAGCACGTTTGGGGATTGTGTTTTTCTTTCGTGCTCTCATTACATGCATAACAGTTACTTGTAATAATTTGTAGTGATCATGTGGTGTTTTTATAATTGCATCTGTCTTGCCCTTATTTGTTCCCAATTTATAGCTCCAGTTTTTATTCCTAACTGTATGTTCTTACATTCCACAATAGTAAAGTTAATTTTCTCTATTAAATCAGTACTTTTGTCTTTCCGAATAACACCTGGGTTCTTGTTTGATTATTGATGTTACTGACTCTGTCATTACAAGTTGCCATTAACATAGTCCTACTTCATATTGCAATATAAACATAAATTTAGAGTTCACTTTTTAAAGGTGATGCCTGGTCCACAAAAAAAACTTCTGTTAACATTTGTCAGTAGTGTCCGTTGTTGGCATCCCATTGGTCTATTACGTATCTTACAATACTTGCATTAATGTATATTTTTGCCAGTTTAATTTTTTCCAATATAGTATTGCACATTTTAATCACCTTCAGATAGGTCAGATCAGCTGCTTTTCCTTTGCCTTGGATAGTTATTCCCAAACTGTTGTTAAAGGCATGGTTAAGTGGTGCTGAGACTGAAATTAATTATTTTTTCAATTAAAAACTTAATGAAGAAAATTAGGGGTATCTTGGTGCAAGAGTTTTGGGAGCAATTAACGTTAAAAGAGGAACTTTTCCTGTCCAAAAGGTCAAGATGATCTAAAGATAAAATTCAAATGTATGTGTTGTTTTCTGTGGGTTTTTTATTTTTCTAATGCTGATTATTTCTTCCCTTAGCTTTTAAAGCGTTGTTACTTGTGAAGTCTTATTAGTGGTTTCCTTGTTGCTGCAGTCAGTTTCTCTTTCCTTCTGGCTTTTTTGTACTCAATGTAGGTATTAGATCCACTGGTACTTGTCATAATAATTCCAGAGGCTACTTCAATAAAGTTTTCTTGCAGTTCCAGTTAAGTTTTGTGTGCAGTACTAGCTCTTCAAGAGTTCTCGGGTGCAGACTATTCTGTCCTTTGCCTTCATCATGCTTAGATTACATGAGTGTGTTTTCTTCTAGGTTATTTTGTTTTGTTTTCCACTCTCATGCTCTCTTTTTCTTAAATGTCCAGATGTTATAGCGATGGAACCCTTAGTCCTGATCTTTAGTTCGGACATTAATAGTCGCAACATTTAAATCTTGTGTTTTCCCTGATTTCTAGAGAGAGATTTCAATGGAACGGCAAACTGAATGAACGCTTGTCTTTATATTTGGGTGATGGATAAATTCCAAGAGCATACAAGTGACTCCTTCCTGCTGTGAGTAATTTAAGCATAAAGACATGTTCATGTAGGAAACCGAAAGTAGCATAGCAAAAGGTATGTAACTGAATCATCAAGTGTATTTGCTGCTTGGTTTCTATGTGTATCGTATTAAACTATATAATGTAAAATGGAAATGACATATTCCCTGTAAATACTTAATGGACATAATAATAAGCCAGTATTTGATTTGAAATCCCTGCCATACAAAATTATTGCAAGAATGTCAGATGGCAAGTTTATTGCATGTCTGCATTTGCTTTGAATTTTGTTCATTGCGCTTAATGGAAAGAGATGAGTGTTATTTTTTCTTTATAATTTAGATGCTGTGTCAGAGAAAATTTACGAGGGAGTTATTAGACACTGTATTTTATAAAATAGTCAAAAAATATCTAGAATAGAAATTAAATACTCTTTGTAATGATATAACAAATTTTAATTTCTGTGGTGTTTTGTATAATAAATTCTATTGTCTGTGATGGCGTGGTAGTATGAGCTATGAGTGGGAGCTTGGTAGTATCTGACCTTCTGTCATTTGAAAACAGGCTATAGTTTTGACCAGAACATTAAGCTGACACAAGTAAAAGAAGCTGCTCAAAGAAGCACTTTCTTTCTCCACAATGACCCAGATGTGCGTGGTGAGATGGTTGGGGAACTTACTTAAAAAGGAAAGAAGTTTTTTCCTCCATTAATTTTCAGTAGAATCGGTGCTTTGAGACATTTTATTATTCTGCTGTGTAAAGAGCTGCTTGAACTCGGAGGATGAGACAGAAACAGAAGAGGCAGAGGGAGGAAAGACTGCTCCTCTCCGTTGCAGTGCTAGTTCTTAAGACTAAAGATGTAATTTAAGAGTCTTTATTTCATTGAGTTCTCTTGTAGATTCTTCAAGTTATTAATCTTAAAACATTTAAAGAGAGAATGTGGAGCAAGATCCACAGAGAAGCTCTGGGAGGGCCCAAGGGCTTTAACGAGGGGCCCCTATAGGGCCCTGAGGCTGTGCATTGCACAGCTGGAACTGCTGTGTTGATCCACCCAGCTTTCCCACGGACCATGTCATCTCCGCTGCAGGACACAGGAGATCATGTTAGGAACTGTTAGGCTGACCTGCCTGCCTTCTCTCCTGGATCGTCCTGACTGTCTTGTGGGACAAGGAAGTGGTCAGTCATTATTGTTAAATGTATCTGTGATTAGAAGTGTTCTGGTATCCAATCCCCCAGTGTGTTTAGTCTCCACACAGTCAATTTGGTCTCAGACCATGACACGTGATATCAGCTTTGGACATGCAATGTCTCTAATGCTGGTCATTCTTTCCCTTCCTGCACACACACACCCACACCCACCTACACATCATTTTTTTAAAAATTTATTATTTTTAAATTTATTTTTATAAGTAAACTGCCTTCTCCTGAGGCCATGTGTCATGCAGTGATCTTTCTATAGCAGTGGATATTAATTACATTTAGTGCCTCTGAATTTTGCTCGAACTGGTGAGATGCGTTTAAGTTGGTTGCTGTCTTCTCTAGAAGGAGCTCTAGATTAAATTCTAGTAAACAAAGTTGTCTGGGTAGGAGAACATACTCCATTTCAGAAACTTTCTTGACCTCAGAAAACTATGCAGCTGATGTCAGTTTTGGCCTGTTTTGGACACTTACCAGTAGGTGACAACTACTGGCAAATAAAAATATTGTGCATTGCCTTTGTATAAACAGGACTTTGCTTCTACTTTGGGCAAAAGTATATGAACTTCCATGTTTTGTGTAGTGCTTTGGGACTCTTAAGTATGAAGAATGTAATATGTACTTTTTGGGGAATAAAAACCATGCCCGAAGGGTACAGTTACAGAAAATGTAAGATTTTTGACTAATCTTGATGCCTGTTGTTTCAGTTTTATGTGACTTTAGTAGACCTTGTTACTTTTGCAAGATTCGTTTCCGACCAGTCATTAGTGCAGGAAGCCTGTGCGTTATTTATTCATTTGTAGAGGAAATATATACTTATGTTCTCAATATTAGAGAATTGTTACCCTTCATTAATGAAATAACAGCATTTTGTTTACAGTGATCATATTATACTGCCTCACAAAAGCAGGGTGGCTGTGTGCAAGAAATAGCACAAGAACAGTGCTATGAATCTAAAGTTTCCTTTATTCTACTGTAATGTGTTCTGCATATTAATTTTCTAGACATTTGTCAATGATGTATAATTAATACATTTTCTTTTTGGCTGCGTAGCTCACTTAATCAAACCCGCATTGATGCTGCTGATCATACTATGATAGTTATGTACTTTTTACAACTTAATCTTCAACTCCATTATTAACCAAAAACAATTCTAGCAAATATCCTGAAGTCTAATGTACCAAGGAAAACAGAATCAAGGTTGATTTTGTTGTTAATCAACAAATAAATTCAGCTTGATAAGAATAATGAAGTTGTGTTTCTTTTGTTCTAATACAACTTCTTCATAGTAAGCTTAGGCTTGAATTCACTCAGATTTCAGTTCTGAAAAAGTATTTGTTTGTTGCAATGTTTGCTATGATCTTAATATTTCTTTTATGAAAGTAAATAGATTGATGTCTGTGCTGTCATCTGTAGGTGTATTTTCATCTGGAAGACTGAAACCTACAATCTTTCATTACTTTTGTTTTTCAGTACTCATGGGTAAGAGAAAGGAAGAAAGTATTTTGAAGCCTGGATCCCACAAAAGACAGAGACAAGAATACACAGATGAACATAGCGATGAGTCTAATGAAGAAGAAAATTCACAGTCATCAGCTGATAGTAATTTCTCTTTACTGTCGGTAAGTTGTTGAAAAAGTTGGGGGAGGAAGATGTAAGAAAAAGTTGATATAAAAAAGTTCTGTGCTTTTGGTTGACATTGAAATAAATGTCTTGCATGTAGGCTTCAGTGGAACCAATAAAAAGAAACTAGAGGTAATGTCTGTGATGAGGATTTGTGCATGAGTTCATTCTTACCTTATGTCGTTTGGGTCATATAGTTACAACAGTTGATCATAAAATAATAGTATTCTGGTTTTACAGAACGAATACTACTGAAGTTGTCAAATAACCAAGTAAAGGAAATGGATTTTGTTTGACAGAAGTATGGTATATTTGGTTTATGATTGTAGTAAAAGCAGAGAAAATATTTAGAAAACAAATTATTTACTAGAAGAGGCACCAAATACTTGTTTGTTTTGCACAGCTGACACTTTTCAAATGACTAAAAAAATCTAGTGTTTGAAATATATATTTTGATGGAAATGAAACTTGAAAACAGGAATACCATTTTGTTCTGCTTTTCTGTAATAGTTGAATTCTAATTTGATGGAGTATTTTTAAAAAATAATTTCTGAGATTGCAAATACTGTCTTGTGTATTATAAGACACCGCGGTTGATTTTTGGTATGTAAAAGCATTATTCCTCACTTCATTTTCTTGAACAGCAGCTGTTCTGTGTCATTGGTTTCTTTATTTTGACTTTGCTTTCTTAGAAAACATTGATTTTATTGCCAGTGCTTCAGAAAAGCAAAGTTTCTTGTCAAACAATACTTCAGCAGTTGAACAGTGGGCTGTGCCATTTCTAGTTTCGTTTCCTCCTTCCTGATCTAATTTAATTTCCCTCTTTCTAAGCTGTGCTAAGAATTCTCACAAATAGTATTATTCAAGTAACAAAAAAGTCTTTCTATGATGCTCTTTGTTACTGCTCTGACAACTGTATAGAATCAATGATCTTATAATTAATATAATATAAAAGATTAAGTTAGTTATGGGGAGAACTGAAAGTTACTGTGGGTGAGTGATCAGCTTTGGTAACTCTTTTCCTTTTATTTTATTATGTAACCGCTCTGTAGCAAGCAACTTTCATGGTGTCAGGAAACCCTTCTGCTTTCCTTGTAGTTTATAACCATTGATGTTTTATATCTTACTGTTGTTTAAATTCTCATTATATTTAAAATAGATAAACTGTATCTCGTTGAAACTCATACATAACACCAGTTTCAATTGTTAATTCTTTAGACTGCAGGGGAAGTTGGCATAATTGAAAGTATCCAGCTGAAGAACTTCATGTGCCATTCGATGTTGGGGCCTTTTCAGTTTGGATCAAATCTCAATTTTGTTGTTGGAAACAATGGAAGTATGTATTAATTGCATCATTTCTTTGTCAAAGAACACTTCTGTTAGTAATTTAGAAGATGTAGTTTTTCTTTGAAATGGAATTGCTAGCCATTTTTTAGGAATGGAGACAGATTCACTTTTGGACTTGAGAACCACACAGGTCTATCCCAGTAGTTTAAGGCTGGTGAAATAGTTAGGTCTTAAATTTGGAGATTTGCAAAAGATAATGTGAATATAAATCTTTTTCATAGCTAAATCATACATAATGTATATTGAAACTAAATGCACTTGTATGTTCATTATTAAATGCACAGTAATTGTCCAAGTATAAACTATTATAGTAGAAGGAAATGATACTTATTTATGCAAGTTCACTTCTTTTGGAGAGAGAATTTCAAAAATTAAGCATAAATTTTGAAAGAGAGTTTAAAACCTTTCAGATAGTTATATAAATGGTAATGTGTGTTTGATTTCTTTTGTTGTATACCTGTTTTCTGTATGCTTGTGAGGAAGGGGAGATTCTTTCCTCCTGAGATAAGACATCTTGTTGAATGCAAATTGCTAAATAGAAGTAACAGAAGTTTGGCTCAGCATGGTGGGTTTTTTTTGGTTTTTTGTCCTTTTTTTTTTTTTTTTTAAGGAGAACCTTGGAAGTAGTAGATGTTTTTCTAGAGTTATTGCTATTTTGTATGTTTGTTCAATAAAGACAGAATTTGGACTTTAAGTGCATGAATACATAAGCAGTCAAACAAAAATCTGTAATATGGGTGAATTGGATAAAGAGTTACAAGAACTTATTTTTAAAAAAATGTTCAATGCTTCTATTACAGGTGGAAAAAGTTCTGTATTAACTGCTCTTATTGTTGGACTTGGTGGAAAAGCCACTGCAACTAATAGAGGTTCCTCGTTAAAAATGTTTGTACGAGATGGAGAGACGTAAGTAAAACTTTTTTAGTTTTAAGGTTGAGTATCTTGTTTAGTGATTGTGATTCAGATTAGCTGATCAGTTTTCTGTTCACCTTCGTTTTCTCTGTTCTCTTATTGAATTGACCAAATTTGAATAAAAAGCATAACACTGAAGAGACCATATTTAAACAAAAAACCCCAAAACTACAAAGAAAAAACCCCAAAACTACAAACAAAAAACACATTAGAAATTTTACCAGTAATTTACCAGTAGTATACCATTATCTCTGAACTAGCTAACATATTCATATGTCCTGCATATTGCCCAGTTCTTGTGTATTACTTCCACATACTTCCTCCTGTACTTGAATATCCTACAGAAGAATTGAGTTCATTTAGAAAAAATTCATAGGAAACTAGTTATCATTGTTCTGCGAGCAGTGAGGTTAATTCTTTTTCTGTCTTTCTGAATAAATAAATATACAATATAAAGACCTTGACATACACGTCAATTATTAAACATGCAGGGAGTGGATTCATGTCTGCTGCAAGAGTGGGGATAACATGTTTAGGGGAACCAATACAAACATAGGAGAGGAGGTGTAAAAGTTTACATTTACGTAAAACTGTAACTCAGAGCCCCAGGCTTTTCCTTTCAGAGGTGCTTGGAGTAAAATTGTTGGCAGTACCTGCCTTATGTATAATAACTTTATGTTTCAGCACTCACTTGAGAAACAGAACATCTGAATTCAGAACTGAAACCACATCTCATCTTTTCTAGAAGAACGCCTTAAGCATTCTGCTACAAATTACTTTGGTTAGGGATGGCTGTAGAAGCTAAGCAAACTGTTTTCTGCAGAAGAACAACCAAAAAGCAACTTGATTCTGCAACCTAAAGATGGGGGCACTCACATGGGAAAGGAAGGTGGGGGAAATCTGCTCTCACAACTATTTGCTTTTGGCTCATGATTTATCTGAAGCGTAAAAGGTGCAAACAGGTTGGTGTATGGCAGCCTTTCTGACCATGTGTCTCTGATGCTGTTTTGGCTCAAACAACATAAATATATCTTCTTCTGATTGGACTGACTTCCAGTTGCGACATGTACACATAACAGCTTTTTGTGGAATATTAGAATGTTCTGATTTTTTGTAATTTTTCTTTTAGATGAACTAATTTCTATTGTCTTTTTTATTATCTTTATTTTTCAGTTCTGCAGATATTTCTATAACGTTGCGAAACCAAGGTAGAGATGCGTTTAAACCAGAAGTGTATGGTGGCTCTATTATTGTGAATCAACACATTAATCTGGATGGAAGCAGAAGTTATAGACTGAAAAGCAAATCTGGTTGGTGGTAGTTTGTTTCGTTCTCAGTCTTAGAAGCCCTTTAGATGTTTTCATTGCTTTAAATGCCTTGATGTTAGTAAAGGATGATGTTTCTCGTTTCATTCATCATTCAAGGATGATGTCCATTTTTTTAGGCGTTTACTTTAGACTAAGAATGTTTTAGAATGTCAAAAGCAGTTGTGTTAGGTTCTGCATGGCGTGAGGTCATATAGTATTTGTCTTAAGGAAAATCTGCTTGTGTGATGAGGCTGAACATAGGTTTTAGTCTTTTTGAGTTTTTGTTGAATTTGCTGATTTACCTAAATTCTGTCACAGAGGGCTTATAAGGCAAGGAGGGACTTGAACTAGAAGTCTTTCTGTACAAATGCACGTATATCGGAAAGATTAAAAAACCCAACGAAACAGTGTTTCTCATTTAGGACTAAATCTGTGTTACAAAAATACTAATCTCTTTTTTTACGTTTACTAAGAACCACTACATTGAACAAAAGGCTAGGGCGTTGTATGTCTCTTTACTTTGGACCTCTTGGTCTTTTTCCTTTCTTTTTTTTACCACTAGGGACCTTAGTTTCTTCAAAGAAAGAGGAACTCGTAGGAATACTGGATCACTTTAATATACAGGTAATTGTTATAGCGTTTAAATTCTGTGCAATTTAAGACATCAGCATATGATGTTAGAATTCTTCAATTAAAAAGCAATGTTGCATTTCGTTACATGAGAGAGGTTCACCTCTTCCCAAATGAAATGGCAAAAGAAAACTGAAATTTATACCTCATACAGTGCAGAATAAGATTCTGTCCCAGACAAATAAGAGTATTTGCTATGATCTGTGAGCCATGAGTCATATATCCTGTTAATGAAAGTCTTAGCATATGTAGGTTTCTTTCATACCTGGAGCTTTTTTTTCTTTCTGCTCATTATTTCAGTTTTTGCTGTTGCAGAAATTTGAGTGTGTTTTTGCTGCTTAAGTGATTGAGGAAAGATCAGGTAGTGCACATGAAGTTTAAAATATTCAACATATTCAGCCTTTCAAATAATATAAACTTTTGTTAGTATGTATTGATTTTATTTTGTGGAAACTTCCATAAGAATATATGAGGCAATTCATTGCATTTAATGCAATACTCTGAATAATGAGAAATTAAACAGCATTGGACAAAATTTCTAATGCTGATCTTTTTAAATAAATGGAAAAAACAGGCACTGTCTTTCTAGAAGTCAGTTCTCCTCCTGGAAACAGTTCCTTAGTTGTCCTTGTTGTTGTTCGAATTTGTACTTGATGGAGTTGGATTTTTTAAAATTTTTTGTTTCTTTGTTGTTGGGGGGGGTGTTTGTTTTTTTTTTAAAAAAAAAAAAGGGTGTGAGAGGAGTAGAAATCTCAATTTCTGGATCTGCTCTCACAGCTTATTACTGAATTGCTGGGCATGGAACAGGGAGATGGTTTGCTCACTTTCATGGATATGCAGTTACATAAGAACTTTTTAACTTAAAATAAAAAGGAAGTAATTTATTTTTACAGGTAGATAATCCTGTGTCTGTTTTAACCCAAGAGATGAGTAAGCACTTTTTACAGTCTAAAAATGAAGGTGACAAGTACAAGGTAAGAAAAATCATTTAACATTTTGAGTAAATATTAAAATATTGCTTTCAAATTTTTAGAGGTGGCGTTTGGAGGAAAAAAAATTCAGAATTCTTAATTTTAATGACCTGTTGTGGGTTAACTCAGGTAAGCAGCTAAGCACCACACAGCCATTCACTCACTTTCCTTCCCTGCTGCCCCCTGCTTGGGATGGGGTAAGACGAAAGGAAGAGCAAAAGCAAGAAAACTTGTGGGTTGACATAAAAATTTAAAAAATGAAGAAAAAGCTGGAAGAAGAGAGAAAGAAAGCAAAACAAAACGAGAGATGCAAAGGCAATCACTCACCACCTCCCATGGGTAGACTGATGCCCAGCCAGTTCCCAAGCAAAAGATGGTAACTCCCCTAAACCCTCTCCTCTCCCTTTTTAGTGCTGAGCGTAACTGTGCTGGTTTTGGCTGGGATAGAGTTAATTTTCTTCACAATAGCTAGTATGGGGCTATGTTTTGGATTTATGCTGAAAACAGTGTTGATAACACAGGGATGTTTTTGTTATTGCTGAGCAGTGCTTACACAGCGTCAAGGCCTTTTCTGCTTCTCACCCCACCCCACCAGCGAGTAGGCTGGGGGTGCACAAGGAGTTGGGAGGTGACACAGCTGGGACAGCTGACCCCAACTGACCAAAGGGATATCCCGCGCCATAGGATGTCATGCTCGGCAATAAAAGTTGGGGAAAGGTGGAGGAAGTGGGGGGACTTTTGGAGTGACGGCGTTTGTCTTCCCAAGTAACCATTATGCATGATGGAGCCCTGCTTGCCTGGAGATGGCTGAACACCTGCCTGCTGATGGGAAGTAGTGAATGAATTCCTTGCTTTGCTTTGCTTGTGTGTGTGGCTTTTGCTTTACTTATTAAACTGTCTTTATCTCAACCCACAAGTTTTCTCACTTTTACCCTTCCGATTCTCTCCCCCATCCCACCAGGGGTGAGTGAGCGAGTGGCTGTGTGGTGCTTAGTTGCTGGCTGGAGTTAAACCATGACAATGACATTTTATGGGATGGAATATCTCTTTGGTTAGTTGAGGTCATCTGCCTGGTTATATCCCATCCCAACCTCTGGCACACACTGCCATTCTATTCACTGGGAGGGCTGAGTGAGAAACAGAGGAGGCCACGACATTATACAAACACTGTTCAGTGACAGCTTAAACATTAGTGCGTTATCTGTGTAGTTTTTGTCATGCATCTAAAACACAGCACCGTAATAGTTGCTATGAAGAAACTTAACTCCATCCCAGCCAGACCCAGTACACTATCTGATTGTAGCAGTCATCCACTTGCAAAAACAATGTTTTTGAAGTTTCTTTTCTCTAAAGACATTGATAAATTTAAAAGAATTTTAGGACACTGCTGAGTTGGTTCATTATTCAGAAATATCCCACCAGTTATTTTACTCTGGGTATCATTCAGCGGGACTGGGATGAGTGGTCTGTCTATGGTAATTATTTGAAGTTCACTTAGATAAACTGCTGAATCTGACATCTGCATCTTTTTATTCCTTTTTAGTTTTTTATGAAGGCAACGCAGCTGGAACAAATGAAAGAGGATTATTCATCTATTATGAAAACTAAAGAAAATACATGTATTCAGATAGAACAAGGAGTAGAGGTATATAAAAGTTAAAGTAATTATTAGTACAGATCTAAGCACTGAAATAACTATAGCAGTTAAACTACATAGTTTTGATTTGATTAGGTCTCAGTGACATTAAATTTAAAAAAATAAATCTTTCCAAGTTTTCATATTATATCACAGCTTTTTGCACTCATGATTGAACCTCTCTTTTTTTTTTTTTTTAAGCGTCTTCAAGAACTTAAGCTGCTTTATTGTGAAAAAAAGGAACGTTACAAAAGCATTGGGTTTGTGAATGACATGCGAAATCATCTTGAAGATTTGAAACATAAAATGGCGTGGGCAGTGGTAAATGTCTTGTTAAAATATGTTTCCTCATATGAAATGTACTTAAAATTCTGCCCAAACTGCTGTGGGCATTCTGATACATGCTAATATATGCTTCTGTTTAGGTGGGTGAAATGGAAAGAGAAATACAGCCAATCAAAGAAGGCATCAGAGCTGAAGAAGGAAATACAGAGAAGTTTGTTAAGAAGATAGAAGAATGCCAGGTACCTATATGGCTTAAACCGTATGTCACTCTGGTTTTGGCTCCTTGACTCAAGAACAAAAATAATATTTAAACTATGATTGTCTTTTAGCTTGTAAGCTATTGAAAGTGCCCATCTTAGCTTTTCACAAGCAGCTAAGAACATTCCCATTGATACACCTTTTTAGCCATCTAAAACTTCATGGTAACATTTGCATTCCACATTTCATTGGATAATGATATCAGGACATTTTGTTTTCTGTTGTTTAGTATGGGTATGTGTGTGTGGTTTTCATGTGGATATTTTTGTTTCAGGTAAGGGTTATATTATTTTGACTGGGAATTTGAGATGACTAGCATTGCATATACCAGTGAACAGAAATTTAAACTGTTTTATTGTTGAGAGTACTTGGTGCCTATTTCTGTAACGTTGGACCATTTTCCAGAGATCTGTCATGTAGGTTTCCCTGGGTATCATTGCCTGTAGAAAAGATCAGTGTCTGATTTCAGGAGACATCTGGAAATTAAACAGACTCTTTGGATGGTACTTAAGACTTCTGTAGGTAGCAAGAAAGAAGAATTTTGCCAAACATTCAGATCCACATGCAAAATGTATCTTTTTCAGATAAACACTAGGCATCATTATTTTGAACTTTTCAGTCTATTAAAACTCCAGACTTTCTGAATTGACACTCATTTTTCATTGATTTTTTTTTTTAATGTTTAAAAAAAAAAAAGTAGTATGTATTTATTTTACATTTGAGGCATTTTTACTTTATGGCTGAACATGTCTGTGTAGTGTTGAAGGAACATTGTCCAAATACTGGTTTCACTTCTTTCCATGTCATGGTACTTGGCCTTATTGTAGTAAGAGTCCCGTGTTTGAGTAAACCATGAGTTAGAAAAGAAGGTTGCTGTTTACTTCACAGATTTGGTAGTCCGTTGGTTTCCTGAATATTTTCCTTTATTAATTTTTAATTTTTCATATCCATAGTGGCAATGGCTTTTTTTTTTTTTTTTTTTTAAAAAAAAAAAAAAAGAGCCAATGAGACATGTCAGATTCTTTTGAGAGATATTTCTTTTGTAGCATTAAGAGGTTTTGAAGAAAATTTTGCTTCATTACTACTTAGGTATCATTCTCTTTTTACACCAAAGGTGAAAGTGAATGAAGCAGAAGAAAAGTACAAAGCAATACAAAACAAGTTAATAACAATAAGTGAAGAAGCACAAGCCCTGCATCCTCAGTGTATTTCTTTGAAGGCTGATGTGCAGGCAAGAAGAAAAGCAGTCAATGAAGCTGAGGTAGGCAAAAAGAACTTCCAAAGTTTGTATCAATTTAAAGCTTTAATCTTGTCCGTGCTCTATACCCGTATGTACTTCTCCATCTGTGTCTAGGCTCCTTGAATCCATGGTGCAGTTCAAAATAGGTGCAATTTCCTGCCTGACATGCAAGTAGTTCCTCTTTGGGGGCCATAGAGTTTATATCTTTACACAGGTGTTAAGCAGTGCTGACCTTAGGTCAAAATAAATATGATTCAAATTAACTGTGTTATTCCTTCTACTTCATATTCTTGAAATTCAAGTTACGTTTGTCTGTTTTGTTGCAGTTCAGTCTTTATTGACTCAAAACTGTAGTTCTTCTTGAAATTATTTCTTGCTTCTATTTATTAAAGTACTATATCCTATTTGCTTCCTAGGTACTTTATAATCGTTTCAAAACTGAGTTAAAACGTCTGGGAAAAGATGATGAACAGCTACGTAAACGAATTGAAGAACTGAAAAGCAGGTAAATACAGATATAGTGATTACAGTGTATGTTTATTAGAGTATGGGTATGCAGGGACTGAGCTCTTCTGATTAATGAGAAAATCTGCAGTAATGGAAAATATTTATTTAATTTAAGCAGGGTCTAGTTAAATATTTAAATATTTCCAATCCTGCTTCTTTGCCTACCAAGATTTTCACTACAAGTTGATGAGGAAATTGGGCAGAAAAAAAAGTTTTCTGTTTTGTTGGTGATAATATACACTTTCTAGCTTCCATGGTGTTGCAGAACAAATATACCTCAAACTAAATGTAATAGGAATGTTACTGGGGAGAGAGTTATGTGTGATTAGAAGTAAAACAAAATAAAAACTGGTATTTATGCTTTGTAGATCTTGTAAATGCACAGAATCTTAAATATAACTTTCTGATGCATAAATGATACTGGTAATAAACCAAAGTTTGTGTCACTTACAAATCATCAGTGTTGTTTTAAAATATTGATGTATGATCTTTTCTAGTGCTAATCAGGTTTCAGAGCCTGAAAAATTAGAAAGACAAAGGAAAATCACATGCTTAAGGGAACAGTTAAAGGCGCTCCATGATGAAGAAATAATGATTAGTCAACAGGTGGATCAGTTTCAGCAGGCTATATATAAGTGTAAGGAAGAACATGCTAGACTTAGGTAAGTTATGCTTTTGAATGTAACTGTTTTCTTCTGTTTCAAGTTATGAGGTCCCTTATGTACCTGCATTCCCTGAGGTATTAGGCTTCAGTTTCTATTTTTTTTTTCCTAGTTTATCTCAGGCCTTGCTAAATTTTTGTCTTTGGCACAATGTGACTTAATTTAGAAACTTTTGGAAAATTAAGAAAACTGTTTTGTCATTAAAGGTGAAAGGTATTAGTATGTTAAAGCCAGATATAAATCCATACTGTCAGTTTAATGCCCTTTCTTCCTCCCATCATCTGTCCCTTATTCTCTTATCATCCTATGGGCAGCCTATGATTTAAATTTTTTAATGTTGTTTAATACACGAATACATCCTGATATGATGTCACAAGGTATATAACACAATATAAGGAAACAGATACACTTAGGGGTAATTATTGTATCTATAGTTAAAGGCAAATTTGTAGAGATTTTGAAGCAAGTGGTTCAAATAACAATTTAGCCCATACCTGAACTAGAAAAACAAAGTACTCTTTAGCTTTGATTTGGAAACCTGAACTTGAACAATGATTACTGGAGGGGATTATGGCAATGTTGTCATTTATTGTCTTAAGAGATTTGAGAATTGTTGCTTATTGCACTTGATGTATTAAAGATTTTTATCAATTATTGTAACCAACAGTTAGTTTGTGTTCTGTTGAAGACCTTTGTAGAAGACAGTGAAATTGAAGCATATAATTAGAAATAAAATACATTTATTATAAATTGTTAGAAATAAAAAGCTCTTGTAAAACTGTTGCAAAGTAGTAATTTTGTCTTGCTTTTTTGTCTCATGTTTCTTGAAATTATAAAAATATTGTTGCATGTGTGTAGCTAGCTGTACATTGAAGTATTGAGGTCTTGATACACTGTCCTATTAGTCCTTCAAAAATGAGAGTTTGTAATTATTTTAATAAAATTAAGGCTTCATAAGCTGTTGCTACTGAAAAAATTCTGTTCTCTTAGGAGAGAGGACTGTGATGCGAAACAAGCACTGGATGCCAAGCAGAAACAGCTGAGTGAGCTGAAAGATAGTAAAACAAATACCTTGAAAAGATTTGGACCACATATACCAGCATTCCTTGAAGCAGTTGAAATAGCCTATAGGCAAGGGCGCTTTAAACACAAACCGGTTGGACCTTTAGGTAAGAATGACTGCTGAAAAAGACAGTCTTTTAGAATATTTCCTTATGGGCTTTATTACATGGCTGCTAATACAAACAGTGATCTTTTAGAAAAACTGTTCTTTAAGGAGCTTCAGATACATCCTTCTTCTGTACTTCCTGGACTAAAGGTTTTATCCTGGTAGGTTATCTTTTGCTTCTCTCCTTTTTGTCACATGAACTAGCTAACATCTACTGTTTTTCCTCATTTTCCAGCTGCTTTTGTTAAGGTATTTTATGTTGTTACAATGGTAAACTTTCAATACACCCCTCCGACTCCCTCACACCCTCTAAGCATCGGACTACTGTGCTTTGGCTGCTTGTTCCTTGGTGGATAGCACTGTCCGGCTCTTGGACAGATCTTACTCAAAATGTCCAGTGGCTGACTTGTGAGCTTGTCAAACTTGAGATGCTTTGCACTGGATCAACTCAGACAGAACCAATCGAGATTTTCTTGTAAAGTTTTGGTTTCATTAGTTTTTTGACCAGCTCTGACGGTGAATGCTATTTTCAGTATGTGAATGGGAGTAATGGCTTCAGCGTATTCTGGATGTAAGTGTAAAGGCCAAGTACTTAAGTCCTTGGCATTTACTGCAAAGTAAGAATGTGCGAACACATGTACTACTGAAGACAGGCGATATAATGGAAATCTTCGTGTTTGTTTAACTTGCAGCATAGTTGTTCCTCTGCCCTCACTCTTAAAGCATTAAATTGTTGATAAGCAATCTTTGCCTAGATATACTCTTGCTGAGCTGTCATAAAATTGGTACATTAATGGAAGTTAGTAGTGACCTGTCAAAGAAGAAAATACAGGCCTCTGAATATGCATAGGTGTCTCTATAAGAGGAGAAATTGTATGTCTGTGTTCTCAGGGTAGCTTGTCTGTTGTGGAGTTATTTTATCTTTTAGTTAACCTCTTAATTATTTTTTTTTTCCTTCTTGTAAGAAAGGTTTATTTTAGACTCTTAAAAAACCCCGTAACACAACAAAACAAAAACCTTAAGTGGTAAAAATGCAATACTGAGTGTTTTGTTATGGAACACAGCTCTTAAAGCCTTGTCTCTTATGTTTTATTTAGGTGCTTTCATTCATCCAAAAGATGCTGAGCTAACCTTGGCTATTGAATCTTGTTTAAAGAGCCTAGTTCGAGCATTTTGCTGTGATAATCATAGTGATGAAAGAACTCTTCAGCAACTGATGGCAAAATATTATCCACATGGATTTAGACCTCAAATAATTGTAAACAAATTTCAGAATGAAGTTTATGATGTTAGACACAGGTAAGTTTTATGTTTTGAATTTTAGTGCTTAGCCTTGATGGTTCAAATTATTATTAGTTGAAAAGAACTATTTGTAATTTATTTTTTTTTTTTAAGAATCTCATGTGAGCTTTATGAATGGTGTTTTTTCTTCTTTTCTGCTGTGATAATCATAGTGATGAAAGAACTCTTCAGCAACTGATGGCAAAATATTATCCACATGGATTTAGACCTCAAATAATTGTAAACAAATTTCAGAATGAAGTTTATGATGTTAGACACAGGTAAGTTTTATGTTTTGAATTTTAGTGCTTAGCCTTGATGGTTCAAATTATTATTAGTTGAAAAGAACTATTTGTAATTTATTTTTTTTTTTTTAAGAATCTCATGTGAGCTTTATGAATGGTGTTTTTTCTTCTTTTCTTCAGAGGAGTTCGTCATCCAGAATTCCCATCGGTTCTCACAGCATTGGAAATAGATCATGCAGTGGTTGCCAATTGTTTGATTGATGTGAGGGGTATAGAAACAATCCTGCTGATTAAAGTAAGGCTCTACGCTCCCTATTGGTTTTTAAAGAAAAGCGTTTTCTCTTTGTGTGGAACATATACAATATCTTCACTGATAATGTCTGTAATGGACAAAAGAGGTAGAGAAAGATTATTTTATTTTTCTTCGTGCCCCTCTGAGGAGAGGTGAGGACCCTGATGGCTCAGTAGACCCCGACTGTATCAGTTACAGTGCAGTACACACACATGCACATTTCCACTGGAGGGCTCCCAGTAAGGCCCCTTTGGCATTCAATAAACTGTGAGTATCCCACTTCAAACTCTATTTTCTTTCATGGATGACATAGAGTAAACTGACAACCCATAGTAGATTTAGATACTGGGATTTATTTAAGAATCAGCAAGGTTAGAGCTTTTACTCTTATTTTCCACAAACTTACTTGTTTTCCTGCCCCCCACAACTCTACCTTTATAGGTCTCAACTTCTGTCCCCAGCAGGGATATCACTGCTGGTCTGGGAAGGTCAGGCATAAAATCTTAGTGGTTCCTGCTGTGCAGCTGCTCACAGATACCTGTTTGGGCTGTTACTGGCCAGGGTCCCCAGGCATTCCCTGGGATTTGTCTCTATAGATCTCTCCCCATGTGTTTCCAGGATCTTACCTGTTTGTTTCTGGGATGTTCACCACCACATTTCTGGGCGTCTAAGTGGTCTAGTTTCCCAGTCTAAATAGTCCATGTGCATGTGATGAGCCTCCTAACTGCTGTCTCTGTCTTATGTCTATTAATTGGTGGATTCAAGATATGTCAGTTTTGCGTAGTCCAGGTATTGCCAAAATTTGCAACCAGCCCCTACCAGTTGTACCTAGCAACTGGTAGCTAGGTACCAGTTGTAGCTGTGGCAGGCTTGTGCTTGAGAGTTCAAAAGTTTCCTTTCGGATATTCAGCCACCCACTCTTACATGAAATTATCAGCTGCCTGTTAGCATTCGCAGCCTAATTTATTTTTCAGCTACCACAATAACCAGAGCCCCTTTGGACTCTGCAGTGTTAAAGCATTTGAGATGAGAGAGTGCAAAGAAACATGGTTGTGGATAGAGTCTGGTAAAATAAAAAAATATCAATAATCAGTTATTAAATAGGATTTGAATGAGGTGACTAGCAAATGGCGTTGAATTAGGAGTACATACTATTTTGATAGGAATCTATTTTTTCATCACCATACAAACATGTGAAAGAACTGTTTTCTGCCATTGTATGATTTCTGACCTTAATTGATTTTTGATTTTCTGTTACTACTGAAGATACCAGCTCCTGCAGATAAGATTACAGGTAAAACGTTCAAAGATAAAAATAAGATGTATATATTTTTATTTAAAGAAAGCAGGGTATTGTATAAGCAGCAGAACTAATGATGCTTGGTTTTTGTGGATTTTGTTTTTCTCCAAAACCACCTGTCCCAGTTTGTCCTCTGACGTTCCTACTGGAAAAGAGGCAGTTTTATGCTCTGTCTAGTGCAGAGCTGACTGACTGTTTAGCAAGCGTGGCTGTTACTCAGTGGCATACGTAACAGCTGAACTTTCTAGGCTTTTTTCGTGGCAGGCAGGAATGCTAGTTTTGTTCTTCCCCCTCTGCTTTACCTAACCACTGATTTTCATAACGTTATTATCATTGAGCCCCAACTGAACAATTTCAACTGAATCTGAAAGAAGTTGAACGGGTATTGTCTGGAAGAAATTATACTTCTGAATGGATAACGTGATTGCCTCAGACAAGGCACTTGTGACCACTTAGTCTGGCACTGGAAATGTTGTGGGTTTGGGTTTTTTTGGTGTTTTGTTTTGTTTTGTTTTTTTACCAGCATGTTTCCCCAAACTTTAATTGAATATTGTTTGACATACTTCACAGTTTTCTTTGGAAGATTGTTTCCTGTATGTGTCTTCCACTTTTGATAGTTAAATATACCTGTGCATAGTGACCTTTTGGTTAATGTTTTGGTTTTTTTTTTCTTTTCCCCATGGCAAATTATAAGAGATTGATGACACTACAGAACTTACAATGCGGATAAACTTGTAATAGAATAAAACAAATGGGCAGCTAAACTAAGTGGGTGGTTTTTGAGAACATAAATGTCTTATTCAACGAAGAAAAGCAGATTCTTGACATTATAGATTCTTTTTTTTCACGTTCTTTCGTTACTGTATTTCTTATTTTTCATTAGGAATTGGAATTATTTTTGGGTGAGAACTTCTAGACAAGTTTTAAATTGATATCTTTAATCTTGGTTGCTTTTCTATTGGTATGATAAGGCTGTTGTGTTTTTCAGAGTAGCCATAAAGCTCGTGAAGTAATGCAGGCTAATCGGCCCCCAAAAAATTGTAGAGAAGCTTTCACTGCTGAAGGTGATCAAGTATTTGAAAGACGGTATTACTCTTCTGATTACGTCAGACCCAAGTTCTTAAGCAAAGATGTTGAAGCAGAAATAAGGTTAGCATCTTGTAATGTTGTATTTGTAAAAAGTATACTTGTTGACATGAATAGTGGAATTGCATATTTGTCTGTTTGCATGTACACTACTCTCCAGTCTCTCAGTTTTCTTTCTGAGATTTATGCTTCCTTTCTGAGAATTCTGGAAAACCTCTTTATTTTAATGCTTTTCTGTGATAGGTACAAACCTGAGTTGTACCTAGATATTTTTCAGCTTGTGGCCTGTAAATCTTGCCCAGAAAGTAAGGATTTGCTGGGCTGAATACTCCAGGAAATCTAGCTACCTTCCTTTTTATTTTACACTTGCTGAAAAAGAGTATAGAACCAATGCTGTTTCTTTAAAATTCTAATACCTGAACAGTGGTATTGTAGTTTACTGCAAAGGAAGCCTAATTATTCAAACCAAAGTTACGTTGGCACACATAGTCCTACTGTTTTAAAATTTGTGTCTGTGTCTTCTCAGGCTTTTGGCTCCACTCATGGTAGGTATCTCTGATAAACTTGACTTCTTCCCCCATTTTATTTTTTCAGTTGTTTTTTTGTTTGTTTTTTTTTTTTTTTATAACTCATTATTTTCAAAACAGTAGTTTAAAAAGCCAAGCATATTTTGAAGTTTACAAACTTGAACCAAGCAAGTTGGTGATAATAGAATACTTTTATTTTGAGGCTCAGATTATATTACAGACATACTAAATAAATATTTTAATTTTAATATTAATAGTTGATAGTGTAGACTGAATTAAATGTTAAAAATTTATTTCTGTACACTCAAAAGTTTTAAATATGTCAGTTAACTGTGCTTTGTTCATGTCAGTATATAATGAACTGTACTCAAAGGGTACCGTAACTTTCAAAGTGTTATAGGCATTTCATTATTGATATTGCTATGGGGGGATGATGTAGGCCAGTTAAAAAGGAAAAATGTCTTCCCACCTACCCCCACCCAGCTTCAGAACTTAGCCTAAAGCAATGACACATTTATGTGGAATAGTGTATGCAATTTATTAAACACTGATTCTGGAATCAGACTTAATCAGTTCATTTCATGCATCTATAACAAAAGTTGGATTAAACACTTGTTAAGATTTGGTTGTTTTTTTTTTTTACTGTAATATTAGTAAAGCTTCACCTTTGTTTTGCAGGGGTGAAAGACACTATCAAAGTTTTGCCATCTATAGAAAATTTTGCCATCTAATAGAAAATAGCTTTGTTTTGCATTTCAAATAGCTTTACCACAAACTGAAAGAATTAATTGTGGAAATCTCTGGACATGACCTCCTTTGAAGAAGGAAAAGCATGAGACTATATAAAATATTTTTTTCACATCTCTCTTTAATGTATTTTCTCTCTGACTGGAAGTGTTTTGTCCTAGCCAAAGTATTAGTTTTCTCTCAGGATGCAGTAGTATTTTTAGAAGTAACACCAATGTTTAGTTCAAACATTTGGCCTGTTTGCAAAAATTGCTAACAGAGGTTACAGGTAGTTCAAATTACATGAATGGTTTATCTGCTAGGCGTTGAACTAGGACCATCAAGCAGCTATCTGCTGGTTAGTAACTATGAGTTCTGCTGCAGAGCTTTGGTGTTTCTTTATTGATCATTAAAACCACCCAATGCATAATAAATGTAAGATTTTTATTTTTTTTTTATTTTTTTTAGGGAGTGTATTTTTACCCTTTGTCTTGTCATGCATTTAATTTTTATTTGTGTGTGTGTGTAATAAATAATATCTGTGTAATATATATCTCAATATCACTGTGTTTATAAAGTCACTTGGAGAAGGAAATTGAAAACAAAAAGGCACAGTTGACAGCATCTCAACAATGTTTATATTCCATTGAAAATGAGATTAGGCAGAATGAAGATCATCTTCATCATCATCGGCGACACCAGAAAGAACTACAGGTAAAAATAGGTACAGTGTTAATTTTCAGAAACTGGTCAGTCTTTCCCTATTTCACTTTGACTTCTACGATATATTTTGAGTGGATGATAGTTTTTAATGCTTATCCTTGCTTTTGTTGTTTGCTTTCATGTTGTTTACTTTTGTAGAATGCTTTCATCACTTACGACAGAAGGATAGAGGCCGCATCAGTCCTAATATTTGATGCAAGTTTCTTTTCCCTGCTTCCCCCTCCTTTATTCCTGTTGAGCCTTGTCTCTTCATTCCCAGAATCTTGTTTCTCTTCATGCTCTTCCTTTATATTCTTAACCCATTTTAATACGGTGAATATTTCACTTTTAAGCTTCCCTAATTTTAATTTCTTTAGAAACCATTTTACAACTATTAGTCTTCTTTCTTTGTTTTGCAATACTTCTAGGTAGGATATATATTTGTGGTGGCCAATGATGTTATAGTTAGGCCGTGTAAGATAATACATACTATATAAGGTTATATTCAGTAAATTACAAATAAGAACCAGCAAAAAACCCTGGCACGTGGACTCAGATTGCTGAAGGTAAATATGTGAGGGGAAAAATAAAATATATTTTATTCAATTGTCATGTTAAATGGAAATACAATAATAATGATTTAAAGTGCATGTGACTTTCAGGGCAAGTTATATCTTATAAAACTGAATTCCGTAGGTAAGTGTCTTTTGTAGGCACTAATGAAACTAAAAGACCAAATATCTTGCTTTCGGTGTTGACGTAAATGAACACATGTGAACTTTTCTCTTTAGATAAGCTTAAGAATATTTATTTTCTTTTTCTTTTCAGATAAAAATAAGAACAACAAATGCAGAAATAGCAGATCTTGAAAATATGGAAGAACACCAGTCGGTGGACATCCGTATATTAGTAAGAACAGATTACCAAATTATGTCTAATAAGAATATGAAATAAGTCTTATAATGTTGGCAGTGTTTTGAAATAAGCAAACACTATAGATTTTCAACTAGTGTACAAGTTGGATAAATAGCGAAGAATGTAACACTTTACAGAATGTCTACAATTATGGTAGTGGCCTGATTTTATTTATTTTTGGTGAGGTTTTGGTTGTTTGTTGTTTTCTTTTTTTTTTCTTTTTTCCCTTTGCCCTTTGCCCTTTTCCTTCTGCCCTTTGCCCTTTGCCCTTTTCCTTCTGCCCTTTTCCAAACCAATAGCACTGCAGGTTTATGGAAGGCAAGGTTGTGTTGTGAAGGGATATTCCATGCATTTTCTTTCCTCGTTCCAGACCTGCAGTGCTGTAAAACTCTGGTTGGGGAGAAACAGTGCTGTAGGTCTGGAGGTCAGAAGTGGCACCATCAAAGCATAGGTAAAGGCCACTCTGGAGTATAATTTATGTCACAGCACTGCCACTCTGCCCTGAACCCCCAGTTTCTTGCTTTGCTGTAGCTTCACCACGCAGAAGTTTTAAATTTCATATATCCCCCTAGGGAAGGATCATGGTAGTATGATGGTTTCTTCAAAGTTCTTATTCTTATCCATGTGTTCTTAAAATGTACGCATAGTAGTTTGAGAACAGAAAAAAAAAGCTTGATAATCTATTGTGAGTTGTATGACGGTGGCAATGAATTTCAGCTGTTGCTCTGTAATAAGCTAACGTATAGATGGCCAAGATATCAATTCTGAGAATCATGCTGATAGACGTTAACAGTAATCCTGACTACAGTTGTTTTCAGTTAAAGTCTATGCCAGTTTTCCCAATATTTTATCTGGGATCAGTGAGAGACTAAATGGCCCAGATTTTTTTTTTTTTGTCACTTCTGATGTTGGTGCAAACTCATGCTTTTTCAGTAGTCTGTCTTTCAGTGTGTCTTTCATGTGTCTTTCACACATGCATGTGAGTAAACATTTCAAAATTTACTCAAAAAGTAAGGGATCTATACAGATTCTGTAAGCTCTTGTAGGGTTTCTCTTTTCCAGATAACCTAGTTCTGTTGCTTTAAAAAAAAAAGTACATTCTTTGTCCTTTTGGTGAGATGGAAAAATAGTCTATTACCTTTTTGTAGGAGAATATCTTCCTGTTTAAAAATTGCCAGACACTTGCTTTTTCAACACCAACATTTTTACAGTTGCCTTCTGATAATGGTCTTATGCACCTGGTAGATATCTGTATTTGCTTCTCCTTATTCCTTTCTTGGATTTTTGTTATTTTTCTGTTTTCTGCACTTCTCTGACCACTACTATAGATTAATTGCTGTTCTTTCACTTGGTATTTGTGTTTCATTGCTACCTTGATTTCACAGTTGTTTGATCATGAAAAAGAATCTTAGCGATACAAGGTTTCATTAACGTATTTTTCCCAGGTTTTGGAATATTTGTCTTTTCGAATCAGAAAGTATGTATGATGATAATTCATTAGGAATCGTATAATTTTCTAGGGAACAGTGACGATCCACTTACTCTTCCTGTATTGCTTTGTATACTGGATGTATATGCTCTGTCACAGATCCAGAGGGAAGTTACCTTGTTCTTTTGTTTAAAAAATTACTGTAGTAAAATATTAGCATGGCTAAGTCTGCACAAAATCCTAGCCCCTTTAGTCTTTTCATCACAACTCCCAAATAATGTCCCCTTAATTTTCAGTCAGATAATTAAGAAATTCCGCTTTTTATTTTGTAATTAGATTTAGTGGTCTCCTACAAGAACTGTCAGTCTCTTCTTTTGGGCTTTAGTGACAACTACATTGAGCTGCTTGTATTCTTATTAGAGTTACAGAGTATTCCATGTAATCTTATACCCTGATAGTGATAATTAAAATAAAAATCTTGTGCAGTAATATGCAAATGTATGTCTCCTTTTATTATTCTTCATTTTAATATATTTTGACAGGAAGATGAAGCTGAAGAAAATAAGGGTAAGATGGAGTCTGTAAAAAAAGACATGCAGCAACAAAGCAGAAAAATGGAAGAACTGAAAAATGTTCTCCAGGTAGCTGAAAAAAACTTTGAAGAAATGAAAGAAAAAATTCATCAAGTAGAAGAAATTGGTGGTCCAATTAAGGTAGCAGTAATTTCATATTGTATTTTTAATTCGTTCCCTTTGTGTGGCAAGTGTTAAAAGAGGTTAAAAGGAGGCAGGAGAAAAAAGTATGCTCCTTCCTGGTACATTTCAGGTCTGCCTATGAAGATGGAAATAGAGCATTCTATCTAGAGCATGTCAAGAAATAAGCTTAGAAATATTTTGAAGATTATGTCGATTGTTAAGTGTGGTTGCTATAGTGTTTTATGTTTAAAGAGAGTTTATTTCCAGGTATTTTTTAGTCATGGACTGAAAAGGAAGGAAAAATAGTTTGCTTGACTTTCCTTTTTAATGCATCACATTTGTCGTTTAGGCTTATTTGTTTGTTTCTGATAAGGCCTGGCTAAGAGTGTTCATAACAGTTCAGTTTTCAAAATAGCATTTGAAGTTGTTATTCTATAAAGTTGCATAATCACAGAAGGTACCAATACATAGTTTTAATTATTCAAGGCTACAGAAGACACCTGGAAATGGCAGAGAAGTAGCAAGACTTAAGATAAATGGCAGAGTGGTGACATGCAGAATGTGATACTAGCAAATAGAAGGCAATCTTATGTTGCCAAGAAGAATTAATGGTTTGAAAATGGAAAACAGAAATAAAAGCATGTTTAAATTATTGTAAACTTGTAGAAGGATGGAATGAGGAAAAACTTAGAAAGATCACTATAGGAATCTCTTACATGCCTCCCTCAAATTGTATATCGCTATGTAGTCAGACCAAATTAGAAAAGCAAGAGCAAATAGAAAGAGGAAGGAAACGGGTAAGGAAAGCAATTGATACGTATGTTAGCTAATATGGAAATTCTAAAGATATGTTCTATTTAAAAAGTAGAAAGAGAATAGCTTTATTTAGAATATTAGAACGTTATTGCTCATTATTAAGAGTACTAAACACAATAGAGGACAACTTTTATATTCCTGAAAGGATTTTAGATTAGATATACTGCTTGTGTGTACTACAGTTGTTTAATGAACTGTTGACATGTAGCAAGTTGTGGCTTTAAGGCAGGATTAGAAAAAGGTAAGAGCATCCATTCTCGTTGGTTATGGTTGGTTTTCTTGTCTGTTATTTTGGTTTTGTTTTTTTGGGGTGGTTTTTTCTTGTTTTTGTTTGGAGTAGTTTTTTATTTTTGCTTTTTAAGATAAGGCATCTAGTTGACAGGGATGAGGAAGAAAATTGTCTTCTAATTTATGTCGTTCTTTATACCTCTTTGCTTCTCTGGAAGTATATGATAATCACTTCAACTGTATCAACACTTATGTAGTACAGAAGTTGCTATAGTCTACATCATATTATAGGTATAGCAGGACACTGAATTTTCACACAGAAAGGCAGTCCTGGCTGATGTCACATAGGCATCAGAAGTTCTGGCAAGTATGTCGTGTATAAAATAAATGTAGGTTTTGGAGGTTTAGGGGAAAGGATGGCTTTTTTTCAAAGATTAACACGTCCCCTCAAGATATGATTCCTAAAAACATTAGAAGCATTTATTATGTCCTTGTCAGAATTGAGTATGGACTTTCTAATAAGTTGCTGTTAAAGCTCCCGGACTTCAGAAGTAGCCGCCTTATTGAAAGGAAAATAAATTAGTGTTAAAAACAACATAATTACTTGTGATAAGTCAGTAAACATTAGAGAGATGCTTGGGAATCTACCCCAAAGAGCTCACTTATCGCATCTTGATTTATTCCAAACAGGATGAATTAAACCAAGCTGACTCAGAAGTGGAAAACAGTAAACGCCGTTTGCAGCACTATGAAGACAAACAGAAAGAACACTTGGCTTGCATAAAAAGACATAAAGAATTACTAGCTGCCAAAGAAAAAGAATTAGAGGTAGGTGTGGGGTTTTTTTTCTTTATTGAAGTCAGATGGTCATGATCCTTCTAATGTTTAATAATAAATCATTCCACTTGTACAACATACAGACCACATTAATGCTCAGCTACACTGAGTATTCTCTCAGCTGTGTCTTAAGCTGACTGCATCTAAATCAAGTAAAAGTAATGTTGTATAAATGAATCTAGACCTCTTTTTGTCTGGCAGAGCACCATTTCTGTCTTGACAGATGAGTTAGGGGTTGTTCTTCTAGGACTCTTCTTTATTTTGCAATGAAAAGATTAAAATGACTTAACCATAAAATTTGTGTTTTAAGTTCAATTGAATAATACTATTTTGGTTTTTTGGATGCTAGGTTTTTCCTTGTACAGATCTCATACCTGATCTTCTGAAGACTTATCTAATCAAGCTTTATTAACTAACTCTGAAATCACATCCACAAAGACTTGTGGAAGACTGTCCTATTTAAATATGGTGAATTTGGTTCCTTATTTATCTGTATTAGCTAAATAATTGTGAACATATTAAAGATCTCAGATGGATACAGTTCTTAGCACTGAAATAACTACCTGCCTATAAATGTTGTTAGTAAAATTGTTATGATAACTAGGTTTGCTGTGATAAGTACACAAAGAACGATACAAAAACATTGCTCTTGCTTGGAGACCTTGTTTTTCCGTAGCACAAAATATTTGTTGTGAAGACTAAACAGACTTTTACAAAATGTAACAACTAACTGAGTTTCAAACATTACTTTAGGAAAAAATTGCACAAGCTAGGCAAATCTACTCAGAGCGCATAGAGGTCAGCAGAACTGTTAAGAGTCTTGATGCAGAAATGAATCGCTTGAGAGAGAGAATAAATTCAGAAAATGATCGCCATGGAAACAGAGAAGAAATAGTACAGTAAGTCACCTTTAATGTCTAAAGTAGTTCAGGTAAGATGGAAAAGATAAGGGAAAGAAGAGTTTTCTTATTGACTCACAATGCATTTATATGTGTGTTTAGTACTTCAGCCATGTACGAAGGTATGGAAACATGCTGTGCTGATTGCTCAGTCAGCCAATACGGAACAGGTGTAGGAGTGTTGAACTACCCTCCAGTGATTTTAGACGGTGTCTGTACTATATATATGAAGTTACCAATAATCAGATGCCTTCTTAGTGTTTAGAGCTATCTCAATTATAACTAATGCAGAAGTTAGGCAATTACTTGAGGTTTTGACTGCAGTGTATTTCAAGGAATCACTCATCTCAGATATTCTTGAGCACAGGGAGCCCAGTCATTCTCCTTGGTGTAAGAGTTTCCTTTCAGAAGAATTAAAAATAGAAGTAAAATTTAATTTTTGGCCACTTTTCATTTGTGGACAGTGTCTTACTTGACTCATCAAATACTTTTAGCTTTAACATAGATCCTCACAAGAAAGTTTTTATTTGAATGTTTTGCTTATCAAATTGACTTTCAGCATTTACAGCAATAGCTCAGTTTTAATGTAATGCATGTTGATCCTAGACTTTCTGTTAATTAAAACAGGCAATTTCATGATGCAAAGGAACGATATGAGGATGCAAACAGTAAAGTGAAGAATTTAAAGAAATTTATTAGGCTGCTGGAAGAAATAATGACACAGAGATTCAAAATATATCGGCAGTTCTTAAGGTGAGCTAATTTTACTGTAACTTCAGGTTTCAGATAAACTAATATGTAGATGTAAGTATGTGCCCATATTCCAGGCTGAAAATTGTACAGCAGACCTGTGAAGATCTTTAAGGTGGTAGTCACGGCAATCTTTCTAACTTAATTTTGCTCCCAGATCCAATATTGTCATGCCTGATGGTTTATAGGCAGCCTGGACTGACATCTGGAAAAAAAGTGATCAGTGGAGGCTCTATTTTGCTTCACACCAAAGGCCTTGACTATACTGACTTAATCCAAGGCAGTTCTCTTTCAGTGTTTCAGTGCTGGTTTTGGTCAGTAAAATATCAGCAACATATTAGCATTGAAATCATCTGGACTGTCACTCATTTTCATCGAGTGGTGCTGTGCTCATGTAATTTTATTGTGGGCCAAACACTTTTTCTCTGCCCTGTGCTGAAAAAATTTCAAGATCTTTATTCAGATTCTGGAATTTGACAGCTGCTTCTGTCACGGAGTGTCCGTTTCGGGAGTGCCCCCCTTCTTGCTTCAGTCCCTTAGTATCCTATACCTATCAGTGAAGATTTTGTGATGGCCTCCCTTCAAAAGGACTGATGGTCTGTTTTCCAGTGCAGTGCTTTATTGTTTATCATTGCCTTCAGCAGAAATTGAGGGATATCTGTATTGGCTCTGCTTTTTGTACTTTTTGATCTGGGATTTGGAGGGGGTGCCTGTATGATCCTGACAAATAGTAATGATCAGGAGAATCCCAGCCTTTGCAGGTGGAAGTCTAGAAACAATAGTGGGTAAGATTTACCTGCAGGATCTGATGCTTGCCTTATGATGCCCATATGTGTCAAACTGAATCTTGTTCCTGGTGCCCAAATTTGAGTATGAATCGCACTCTAAGATGTGTTAAAGAACCATAGTTCGTTCTTGAAGGAACTGTGATGTATTTTCTATTGGGGAATTATATGCTAGAATTAGTGGGGTAGGGGAAGAAATTAATATTAAGCACTGTTTAATTCCTGGAGTCTAGCAGAGTCCGTACAAATTCTTTACTATCTTTACTGTGTGGTCCTAACCTGGATAGGAAAGAAGTGGAATGTGGTCGTTTTCTGTTGAAGTTGTGGAAGAAGGGTGTAAAAAGCTTCCAGTCTACTGAAACAGACTTCTAAAAAATACAAAGCCTGTGCTTCTGGATTTCTTACCTTGTTACTTTGTGTCAGTGATTCTCTCCAGTATGTCCACTACTGAATGTCAACCGCTCAAGAACGTAATTGATTTGGGAAAAATGTTATAAATGGAGCAGGGCTTAATATTTAAGATTATGATGTGGAACTGATGATAAAAATCTGTTGTCACTTTTTCATGTATTTTAAAACTGACTGACCTAATGTTTGTTTGCTTGATTTAAGGCTCCTTTCTTTACGATGCAAACTCTACTTTGACCATTTATTACGTATTCGAGCTTGCTCTGGAAAAATACTTTTTGATCACAAGAATGAGACACTTTCAATAACAGTAAGTTATTTTATATTACTTTAATTATCATAATATGTAATGAAAACATATTTTTTTTTTAATATCACCTGCTAGAACATGCCTCGCAAAGGATAGAATAAATTGTTCTCCCTTATCCAGAATGTGATATGCTAAATTGTAGGCTGTTGTTGAAAACGAGCAAGAACAAAAACTGTTATTACCACCTTATATGGGCAGGTTGCTAGATTGCACGGAATAAATTTGGACAGTTGTCTTATGCTGAAGATAAGAATTCACTAGCCAGTCATCAGAGTCTTTCAAAATTAATCATTCCTGTTTCATTGATAGGAAGTTTGCCTTTATTTGTGTGATTGTATAATGGCTCTAGTTGTTATTTAAACAACATTTAATGGCTAAAAGTTTCAATATTATGTTTTTTGTGTGTAGTCTGTAAGTTCATATCTTTTAACATACCTCCCAAAAAGTTTTAGTCATGGGAGTGTTTACTTTTGGTTCTGTGGCAGACTTCAGTTTTAGGAATTGAGGGGAAAAATGTGTAGTGACAACATAAATACATGTTGATAGAGTCCTAATTAAACAGGTGAAGGATATGTATCTGAAGAACTCAAACTCAATCCATAAAATGTCACGTAATTATCTGGCTTTATCAGAATACTTTTTTTTTTTAATAGCTGATGTTTTATGTTTCTCATGCAAGAGATCTATATTTAGTCAAGGAAGGTAAATTAAAAAAAAGAAAACAACTCCCCCCCAAAAACCACCAAAAGACCCCACTCCAAAATAATTCTTATTTGCTTGCTTAACTCGTTAAAGTTAATATAATTAACAGGACAAGAAAATGCTTAAGTTTAAAGGGGGAGTGCCACAAGGTGTCATCATAATCAATGGAACCAAAGGACTGTTCACAGTGTTTCTGATAAAGAAACTGTTCCTCCTTTAAACTCCTGCTGTAAATCAATTACCTGCTTTTTTCTGTTGTAGCTGGTAACCACTGTTTTTTACTGTAATGTAACTACACTGGTTGACATCTACTAAACATTGTTTAATAGCTATTAAAAATAGAGAATTGAATAAGAAAACACTAGCAGAGTCATTCAGTCTGTGCAGTGTATTTTACTGTGGTGGAGAAAGTTGCAGTGATCCTAGAAACGTGTTACGAAATGGTTAGGAGCTATCCCATTCTGGAATGGCAGTGGCAGTGGCAGTGAAGCGCATAAAATTGTTCTCAGGTGATCTCTGTCTGTTCATGTGTAATGTGTTTGCCATTAAAATTGTGATTCTAAGTAAGTTTCCGTCTCAGGTTTAAAAATTGTTCTAATATTTTTACTTCAAGGTTCAGCCTCGAGAGGAAGACAAAGGTGGCCTTAATGATGTGAGATCTTTATCAGGAGGTGAACGTTCCTTCTCAACAGTTTGTTTCATTCTTTCTCTGTGGTCCATTACCGAATCTCCCTTCAGATGCTTGGATGAATTTGATGTCTACATGGTACAGTTTAAACTTAGACTACATTTACCATTCTGATTTGTATAAATTCGTGAAATAGTTGGGTTGTTATCTGTATTTGGTTAGATTTTAAAACACTACAGTTAAGTGCAAATAATAAATAAAAAACCCCAAACCCCAAATCCTCCAAAACCCCAAAATAAAACTTGTTACGGATCTTGGACACTTTGCTTAGTGACTTTTGAAGCTTATTCTGTTTCTGAAGTTGGTACCCAGAACTATGAGTATCTCTATTACTTTACACGCTTAAACCTTAGTTCAGCGCAAAAATCATAGAATATAACTTTTTATTAGTTCCCCAAGCAGTTGTTGTGTTTGTCACCGTTGGCCACTGCATATTGCTGTGACAGTTCTGGGCTTAGCATGTGCTTTGGTGCTTTGGCTTCTGCCAATTTTGAGATCAATGTGGGGGTTTTTTCAGAGCAAGTGTAGCAATCGGGTTCACTGTTGCTGCTCAGGAGCTTGCTTTATACTTCACCTTGTAGCATCTTTCCGAGGTGCTGAAATGCAGAATACCCAACAGTAAATACTGATGTCAGCTAAAACTGATAAACCTCATCTTTGTGTACAGCTTCCCTGGATAGGTGATTAACCAGCTTTTTGATATATTTTTATTTTATTTATGCCTTATTAATATGCAGTGTGGTATGGTTTGAGAAAAGAATTAGTTCTGTGAGACAAAAGAGTTGATACTGGATTATTTCATTTTGCTTTCAGTGTCCCTCCCCCATCAACGATTTATTTACTGGGAATCACAGACCTAGAGGGGGAAAAAAAGATAATATACTTTGTATATAAAGGATTTCAAAAAGGAAAGTATGCATCTAAGGTGGTCAAGTAGTCATTTGTCAGCCGACTTCCAAAGTTTATGTCCTCTTTTACAAGCTAGTTGTGCAGAAGTTTAACCATCTGTCCGGAAAAGGGTGGATACTCAGAACCGTAGGCCCTGCAGAGAACTTTCATGTCATCTAGTCCATAAATAATTCCACACAATTTGTCTTTCCACTGCTGTACCAGTAAGTGCAACCTCACTGTCTCCACCTTCTGTAGTTACCTCTGGTGTAATCCTGGAGACTCACCACAAGAGGACTCCATCGGCATATCTGCAAGGGAGATGCCTAGTTTCATGCTCTGTTTAACCCCTGCTAATAATATCTTCCCATTACACATCTTTTCCAGTAAGCCTAATGCATAAGGTTGTGTTCGAAATAGTAATAATACCAATAATAATAATAATAAAAACAAGCTACATAATATCTTCGGTTTCATGCAGCCCTTAAATCCTTTCAGGTAATTTTGAGGCAGGATTTTATAGTAAACATTACTCTGCTAAAAACCAGTTCATCTCAGCATACCAATAAATTAGGAAGTACTACGTGTATATCAAAGCTGATAGAAAAACAACGTGAGTAGGAGTGCGTGATTTTTCTGATAAGGCTTTCTATTGTGCAGGTATACTAAAAAGTAGAGTTTAAGAATTTCCCAGACTATAGTTTGTAGCTTTTAGAATTTAACCCTAATGTTTCTCCAGCTTTGTTTTTATTAGACTTTTCTTTAACGAAGCGTTACTGTATATGAATTAATTTCGGTAGGTTTTTCTTTCTATTAAGGTATTTTCTAATTAATTTATTCTTAAGCATTTGTCCTAATTTGCATAATAATAGGCCAGTGAAGTACACGGTCAGTATCGCTACCTGATAAATCTTTTTTTCTTTAGGACATGGTTAACAGAAGAATTGCAATGGATATGATTCTTAAAGTGGCTGACTCTCAGCAGCATCGCCAGTTCATTTTGCTCACCCCACAAAGCATGAGGTAATAATGCTGTGTTATATTTCTTGGTGCAGGAATTGCAAGGAAGTTCTATTGCAAGGAGTATGACTTGAAAAAAGTAAATATGAGGAGAAAGAAATTTTGCTGTTTGTAGCAGTAGAACATCAACAATTAAGCAGTTCATTGCTGATGGTTCTGGGAATTTAATAGGTTTTTTGCTCTTTTTTACATAATGTCTCTTAATATAGTAGTTCAGTGGGACTTGAATCTGTTTATCTTAAGTAGAACAGCTTTTTGAAATGTTTTATTGTGTAAAGTAGGCTCCCGGTAGCTTTTAGCCCAGTATTTCCCTTTCCCCTCCCAAAATTAACAGAAGACTTTGCAATTTTCCATTTTTCCTTTGAATACTAGAGTGCTTTCAAGAAGTTTGTCGTTTGAGTTGATTTTTTTTTTTTCCTTAAATATCACTGGTCTAGAAACTGATAACTTACTCCTTGTTTTCTTTTTTTGATCTAGTAGCCCAAAATTCTTTAAAAACCTCCATATAGGTCCCTGGTAAAGCCATGCCCAGCTTAAGGGGACAGTCACTGTCTAACCTTATGCAGCCAACTCTTCTGTCCAGTAGCCAAATGTAATCAGTGAAGCCTGTGTAGGATAATTAAGCAGTCTTCAAAATGAAGTTGATTTACTCTTAATTGTCTTCTCTTACCAAAATCTATAAAAAGTAGAATAATGGTATTCTGTTGTTATTTAAGTGGAAATGCTTTGGAGGGAATTTCTGAAACTGTGTTCAATAAACATGTAGGAATTTTCTGTATGGTTACTGTTTAAAAGTTTAGTAATTCAAGTGCAGCTTGGCTTTGTTATATTTTGTTACGTGTTGCATTTTCAGCAAACATTTAAGTACAGAGACACCTTCAGAAAAAATACATTTAGGATAAACAGTGGAGAAGCCTGTATAAATGTATGTCTAGTAACTTTGCTCATTCTTAGTATGATGTGAGCAATTATACATGTATAAAGCGTGTGCCACTTCAGGGTCTGTAAAGCAAGTATGAGCCGTATTCGATTGTTGTTTCACTTGGAGTTTCTCTTAAAAGAACTTTTTCTGTAATTCAGGTAGTCTGATTGTTAGTGACTGATTTCAATCATATGTTTTCTGTCTTTACCTCAAGCTTTTACTGAAGTCTGGCTCCAGTGTCCGTTCAGTGAAGCCAGAACTTCACCCCATGTTACTGTTTTTTAAAACTGTCAAAGAAAAAAGATGGAGTTATTTAAGGGAAAATATGTAACGGAAAGAACCAAATGGAAATACTAAAATTTGTGGAGAAGAAACACTGTTTAAATGATGCGTACTTTATTTTTAGTTCTCTACCTACGAGTTCCCGTATTCGAATCCTCCGAATGCAAGACCCTGAAAGAGGCCAAAGAACATTGAATTTCCAAAATAGGAATGACAAAGAGGAAGATCAATAAGTATCTCTGTGTACGAATATGGCATACTATTGAGGATAAATGTGTAATGGTCTGTGTAAAGCTATTACTTCCTGATGCTGGATAAGAGCATCTTTTGTTAGATGCTGTCAGGAAAAGAAGAGGTTCTTGTATTTTTTTATTTTTTTAATTTTTTTTAAGTATTATTGTGTGTGTACAGACCAAGAGTAAGCACAGTTTTGATGATGAGAACATCCTGAATGTTCAGTTGATATTTTTAACTATCAACTTGTAGAATTTATCAGTTGTTCTGTTTTTTTTCTTCTGGAAAATATGAAATATATTTTGTGTAACTATGGAGTAATATTTTAATAAACAGTGAGACCTGATACTTGTGGTAATATTTTAGTGTCTCTACACACTTAAAATGAGCATTAAGTTAAAAATGTTGTTTTCTTCCTAGTTCTGCTTTATTTCTTAAACATGTGCTAATTAATACAGACAGTAAAACATGTTTCATTTTTTTTCCAGTGGAACCACAGCAGCTGAACATGAGAAACTGTTAGTACTTACAGTGCATACTTTCACAATTAGAGAAGTGAAAAATGTATTTGCAGTATATTCTCTTCACAGGAAAAAAGTGCTTTTATTTCTTCCTGAAGAGTTTGTAGGGAAGAGTTTGAGTTTCTTTGGACATGAGCTTACAAAACCTAGCAATTGTGGCTTTATAAGCTTAAATTCTTAATTCTAGTAAACTGAGTTCTTGCACAGTCTGAGTTTGCAAGTATACACCAAGTCTGCAGATATTCATTGTATTGTAACAAACTAAAGTGACAGAAGTCCTTCCAATATAGAGGAATGATGTGGAATAAGAATTTTGGGAAATAATACAGTAACTTTTTCTACAGCATTGTAGGCCTGCATTTTGTCCCTGCCCTCCCTCCACTCCCCACTCCCCCAGGACTATACTAGGATAGTCGAAATAAAATAAGCTTGCTTTATTTAAATAATACAGGCAGATTTTTCAAACTGCCCCAAATTAACTTTTTTCTCTTCTGTTCTCCTTTCTCCAGGAACTTGAAATTGTTGGGAGCTCTTAAAAAAAAAAAAATCCCTTTTTAGAGTTCAGCCATTAGACATACTTTTTGGTTTGGTTTTTTTTTTTTGATGTTCTGAGGATACAAAAGCCATTGAGACTGTTCAGAGAACAGTTCTGCAGTTTCTACAGTTATTGACCAAATAGCAATTTCTCAATAAAACCTCATTGCAGTATAAGTTTTAACTTGACTTAAAATTTGGTTTTACCTGCCGCATGGTATTTTGTGTTCTTTAACGTTGTTCAGTTTTTACATAAGCATGTATTAAACTTGTAGATATGTCTAAAATATGGAAGCTAGCGCAGAATTGAAGGAAATACAGTGAGAAAACTAACTGCATTTCTGGTGCATTCTAACTGTGGGAATTAAGTCTACTGATCTTCAGATGTTTATTTCTGACAGCCCAGGGTAAGGGGCCAAGAGACTCGTAGCAGCCTGGAGGGGGTTACTGGCAAAACAGGGCCAGGCGTTCGGTTGAAGAGCGTGGCAGAAGAGAGACAGACAGAGGTCATCACTTGAAGCAGGGAGGTTCTGGCTGGATAAACCAAGGGGAGGGATTGTTCGTGATGAAGATACGGGGCGTTTGAGCATGTCCTGCCAGGCTGCAGAATCTCCATCCTTGGGGGCTTTCGGGGTCGGAATAGGCTGCTGCACCCCCTTCAAGCAGGGGGTTGGACAAGAGACCTCTGGAGGTCCCTACCAAACTAAACAATTCCATAATCCTGGGATTTGATGGCATGTATATTAAAGATACTTACAACTTGTTCAGGATTATGTGAAAATGCTGGGGGGTGGTGAACCATACCAAGTGCGTACTTGACAAAACTTGTCTGGAACACAAGCCCGGTTTGTTTGTACAGGGAGTCTTCAATAGTGCTATGTGATCATGAACAACACGTTCAGTTTGACTTGATTTTATGATGAAACTGGAATATGTTTCAGACCCTTTTACAATATGAAATGATAGAATGGCATAGCATTATTTCCTCCTGATTTTCTTTAGCATCCAAAAAACAAAGCGAGAGCGCAGAGGCAGGAGAGAGAGAAGCATTTATCTTCATTAGTACTTTTATAATGAGTTTTGTGGAGAAAAGAGCTTAAGGAAATTTCTTTCAAGTTTTCTATAGACTTACTTGAAATATTGGAGCAGTTGGCAACAATTCTGGTCTTTGCTTCAAATGAATATATTGTATTTATTCTAATCTACCACTGTACTTGATGAAAATGTGCGCCTGACTGTATAATAATTATAAGCAACTGTTTTCATGGTAGAGGATTAGTTCTGAATAAAAAATTACTGAAGCACTTGCTTGGATGCACTTATTTTTGCAGTGATCCTACTAGGGTCTCAAAACTGTCTTATTCCTGGTACTTTAACCCTGGAGTTTACTATACCGGCTCCCTAGAGAGAGACCTGCAGTGCTGCTGTTCCGTTCTGTCGCTGTGTTTGAGCTGTTGGCCGTTTTGGATGGCGATGCATTAATGCTTAATGCTGCATTGAAGTAAATGGAGCCTGTCCAGCTACATAAATCTGAGGTGCAGGGAAATGCAGAATGAGGTACTGCTTCTCTAATGGGTATATGTAAACCAAAGAGGCATAAATTCCCAGGAATATCCAACATCCTTTCTACAGCTAGTAATTTAAGCCTGAGGGGAAACAATGGGCATATCATTCTCAGAAGTATATAGCATTTTCAGAATGTGTTTTATTTTTAAGTTACAGCGAAGCGTACAAAGTATACCACTCTCTAATTTGCTAAGACTATTACCTGTGTAGTCTAAGTAAAATTCTGGTATTAAGAAAGGTAGTTGAAATTTCTGCCTTTTGCTGTTTGTTTGGAATATGAAGAAACTTAAACATGAGAGGATGGCTGTGGTTGTGGCAACAACTGATTCTGTGTTCCCCCCACCATGTTTGTTAGCAAAATGTGTAAAACTGGGTTTTGATTTTTTTTTTTCCCCTCAATTGTAGGATTAGCTTCACTTTTTAAATTTGAAAATACAGAGAATGATTTGCTTTGTGTCGTGTTTTATTGTTTGATTTTTAGCTATTAAAAGTACCGTCTCGTTTCTTCATAAGGTAAAGAAGAAATATCAAACATGCAATTGTAAGATGTTCAGACTTTTTTTTTTTTTTTGTAATCCTGCAAGCAACCAACTGTTTAAAGCAACTGGGAAATGTGGTGTAGAAGAGATTTTTATCTGCAATTTCTGCAGTCTGCTAGTTCTCGATGCTTTCCCAGGGCTGTGCAGAACTTGTACTTGCTACAGTATAGAGATGAACTTGACTGGTGCTCATAGAATTGAGGAGGAAGGTGGTTCTCTTCACTATCCCTTCCCAATCATCATACTTTATGGTTAATTTATCAGTAATGATTTTTAACAACGTGTCTGTTTAATATAAACCTGGGGTAGTTCAGTGTCGCGTGGTGAGAGGAAAGACTCTTACTTAAGGAGGGAAAAACATTAGAAGACCAGGTTTCGGCCAATCAAATAAACTGTATTTGACTTCCAGCTAGCTTGAAGAGCTATGGAAGCACAGGGCTGGTAGGTGTACTGTTAAATCTTAGCGTTAGCATCTTAGAGGATAAACAGCTGCTCTGCTGGTAAATACAAGAACTACAACTTTTGGTTTCGTATAATATGATTCTTCTAGCGAGTGAGTGCAAAGTTTTCTTCATGCTTTCGTAATGAAATATATATTTCCCAGTGGGAGAGTGACAGACTGAACTTTTTTTTTTCCTATTACTGTGCTGAAGACATGAAATAAGAGTTAGGGGAAAAGGTCAAATGTTATAAATTTATTTTGGGACATATATATTGCAACCTCTGTGGAAGCTTTTGAAAATTCAGGCAAAGATCAATACACTTCCAATAAAACCTTTAAACTTCCAATAAAACAATATTTTAAACATTATAAAACAAAATGTTAAACATTATATATATATATATTTATATATACTTTTAATTAAAGGGAATCATTTTAGCAGGATTTTCTTTTTTTTTTTATACTGCATTCCTCTGACATAGCTCTTTCCAGATTGAAGGGATGCAAATGAGGTAAGAATTAAGGCAAACCTAAAAGGCATGCAAATGAAGTACATTTATATCCACTGACAATACAAGCACATGTGTGGATCAGACTTAAGAGCTGAGGAACTCTTCCCCTCTGTCTGTCCAGTACTACTTTACAGCAGAATGGCGACATGATTTATAATAAACAGTTAACATTACCATGGGAATTCAGTGTCACTAACATTACTCAGTCTAGGAGACACAGAGCTAGCATCAGTAAAACATGAACAATAAATAATATAATTCACTGCAGCACAGGACTGCTGCACAGGCTTCAGAGGAATAGGGTTGTTATGAAATGACATTGCACACATCACGTTGTGGCAGTTTATTTTTATAATATATACTTTTAAAATTCTTTAGCAAATGACATTCTCATGCACACAAGTGTTTCAAACACAAGAAGCAAGTCCATTTATAGGTAGTCCAAGCAAATTTTTGTGTGTGTGGAAATAGCTGCAAACTGAATGGAACATTAAACTTCTGTGCAGTCTATGACGCGTTGTACACAAGCTCATTTTTGAATGTCACACTGCAGGAGTAATACAATGGAAGGATCACTCTTTGCAGCTTCTTTGAATTCATCCAGTGTGATCTGGTCGTCTTTGTTCTTATCCATCTTACTGAAGATCTTGTCTACCCGTTGCTCAGGCGTCAGACCATCTTCATTCATTTTCATCATTATCACAGTGCCCACCATTTTGTAGATGGCCTTTGGAAAGAAACCAAACAGAAAATTCAACATATGAATTAACCTGATTTTTTGATGTGATCAAATTCTGGAAAGATATTACAAGAATAAAATAATTGCCAGTTTCTCCAAGGATTTTTTTTTTCCTTAGAATCCGATGTCCGTATACTTTATACAAC